TTAGGTGCACTCCTGTGGAAACTCAGGGGGCTTGGTTCTACCAGCTGTGAGATGCTATATGTTAAAAACTAGACTTTAAAAATATTGACATGGTTTACAAAATGGAGAGAATTCTACCTTTTGGTAAAAGCTAGGACAGTATAAGGTAGTTTTAGCAGAGTGAGGGGCGGCTGAAGGGAAGCGGGCTGGGGCAGGTGGATCAGGGGCGGAACACGAGCAATGTTTGCACATGGATTTGTGGGGAGAGAACGTTTTTTCAGTTTTATAGATTGATTTTCAAAGGATAAAACGCGATTTAAATGGAAGTCCAACAGAATTACTCTGTTGAAGTCAGCAGTAATGCCGAAATGTGTTCTCACTCCCAGACAGTCTAGTCTCATCTGGCTCTCACTGAAGGAAAGGGATCTGATATTTTATTCAAATGTATCCTTCTTATCTGAAGTGCAATCTGTAATTTCTTGTGGACACATTAACTTTTCTGCGTCTATATCGAGAATTTCATACCCAAATTCATCTTTTCGTGGCCGTGATAAGCTCCATAAGCCATTGGTCCAAGCTGGCTAAGCTCAGAACTTTCACAAAATGGCAATTTACTGAATTGCTCTGGGCCAGTCTTGTCACAGAGTCACAGAGTTCCAGGATGGAAGGGACATGGTCCTCGATGCCCTCTGACATCCAGGGGGGCAGCAGCACACCATGCACACTGTGTGACTTCACCTGGAACCCACGAGGGCCAGGCCAGCCTCACATGCCCAGGCCTTGTCCAGGTTCCCACAGGGCACAGAATGGGGCTGAGTAGCAGGTGGCAGCTGGCGTGGGGATCCAGGGCAGCACTGGGAGGATCCACTCATGAGAAGACACAGGAGTTAAGGACACGAGCCTCCATGTCCACACCGACCCGGGAACACAGGGGGAGAGCCTTGTCGAGGTACAACTCACTCATCGTAGCACACTCCACCTGTTCAAGGGTGCGATGTAGTGATTTGTAGGATATTTACCCAGGTATGCAGGGTCACCATCATCTCACTTGAAAACATTCTTATCAGCTCAGGCCAGTCACTCCCTGTCCCCTTCTGCTCTGGCCCCTACCCCAGCCCTGGGCAACCACTGATTGCCGTTCTGTCTCTGGGGTGTGCCTGCTTGGACACCACCTGGCGAAAGAATCCTGCCATGTGGCCCTGCGTGGGCATCTCCCACCTGGCTGGGCTGTGGTCTGGGCTTCTCTGAGGCTAAGGAAGTGACGAGTCTTTCCTGGAGCTTGAGGGTCACCTATAGATCTTGAGAACGATCAGATCTTGTGACTTGTCCTTGCATTTTTGTGTTGTAATTGTTATTATATTCCAGCTGCCAAGCGCTTATGTGGATTTTTGTTAAGAACCTTACATGTGTCCACATGGGTCATGCAGGCAAAAGCTTGACTGTGGGGATTAACTGTGGGAGGACAGCTCTCAACCCAGGAGCCCTCTGTGAGATGCTGCCCAGGGCCACCCCACCTGCCCTCCTGACGATGTCATGAGGGCTCCTCCCCATCCCAAGTTCTGACTAGCGGGGCCTCCTGCCCACCCCTGCCCCCAGGATTGCTGCAGGCTGTGAACTGCCCCTGGGGACTGGCCTTCAACTGGCTGGGCCTCCAGTAGTGGCTTGGTGTC